CACGCTCAACTGACAGAGAAAACTGGAATTTGCTGCCATTGTTTCTAGTACGCATCCCTTGCGGACAAACTCAGCTACATGCAGAACCATGAATAATTTCATTTCCCTACTCAAAGTAAGCAGGAATATAACATTTAATTGCCAATTAATCTTGAGGCAACTAGAAATACAACCAGACCCTGGATAATGAGCCCGGAGCATCGCAAACAGCAGCAGTTGAAGAGGGCACCGGGTGTCTGGGATGCGCCCCAGCACGTTCCCGGTGCGAGCGGGGGGCTTTGCCCCTCGGTCCCCTCCTCGGCATCATCGCCCCTCTCACAGCCCCACCAAACACGGTCCGCTGTGCTGGCTGGCCTCGGGACGAACTCCATCCCGTCCCATCCCTTCCCGCTGGCTGGAAACCCTTGTCCCATTCCCAGGGAAACTGTATCCATGGCCAGTTTATGCCTGTCTGTTTTTGGGCCAGCCGAATGCTTTACCTTAATTCCTTTGGTATTTAGAGCCTGAGACGCTTGCGGAGAACAGCCGTGTTTGCTCAGGTGCCTTGGCTGGACCGAAGAACCAGACCCATCACTTGCTCGACACCCACTTGGAGTGGATTTGGGGAACCTGCAGACCCACCCAGCATGGGATCCAGAGAAACGAGTGCGAGGAAAATTATTAATTTTATGACATTTACCACAACAAGCACCTCACGGGGTGTTTGACCCGTCACTGACGGGGTCTGGCCAAAAGCCATCGGGCAGGCCCAGCCACCACCTCCACAGCAGCGGGGTGACCGCGGCTCGGTTCACCCGTTAGCATCCTCCTCGCACATCAAGCAACTGCTGCTTTTGTCTTTTAAACCGTCTGACCTGCTGGATAAGCCAGCGCTGGTTTCTCTGAGCTCTCAGCTCCTTTCCAAGATGGCCAGAAAACAAAGGGTAACACTTAAACACAGAAATAAACACACCGTGAGGGATTTTTTCCAGCTTTCCGAGTTACAAGAAATGATCCGGTAACAGGAGCGGCTGATGTGGGCGTGAGAGCAGCGCTCGGGCGCGGAGCAAGGCACGGGTGGAACTCAGGCAGCAAGAGGCTTTCCTGAGCCAGAGGCTGCTCTGAGCTCCCCGGCAGCCCTGCCCGAGGGCCAGCAAATCTGTTCCCGCTCCTCTTGCCCAGGCCGTGCTGTCAGGAGGGGAGCGATGCCCCCCTCGCCCCCTCGGACGCCAGCAAGGAGCCGCAGGGCTTTCCCGGCTGCTGCAAGCGTGGGGGAGAGCAATGGCTCTCGGCCCCTGTGCAGATTTTCCTGTGCTGGAGTTGCGTTTGTTTGAGTTCCTCACCTCAGCATGGAGAAAGAGAAACGTCCCCAGCCTTGCCGGGGCATCGCACGGAGGCAACCGGGTGCCCGATGGGCTCTGATGCTCCCCGGGAGCCATCCAAGGACACGGCCAACCTGATCTGCTCCACTCACAGCTGACAAACGACAGGCAGATTTAAAAATACCCTCTGTGTAATCATCAATTAATTTAAAAGCTGGTGACAAAACAGGATTCTGGTTCTAATTAATTCTGACCTCCTTTAACTGAAGAGAGCTGATTGCCGGTCAGACGTTTGTTCATGCTCAATCTGTTCCATCTCTGTTAAAAACCCATCTGATAACGGTTTTAACATTTAAACTACTGGGGTTACTCGCATTTTTGTGCTGAGCGAGAACACGATTGCTCACAAAGACAAAGGCATGGTTGTGCTGGTATCGGCGCACTTCGTGTTAGAGGAGATTGAGGCTCCTTGTGCTTCGAACATAAACACATGAATCACTCCAGCCTGCCTTCATCTTGTGCCGTAAAGATCCTTTAAAACGCAGGAAAGGGCTGAGTTTACGTTCCTGCCTTTTCTGGGAGCCTCTGCCTGTGGATTTACACATCTGTGCTTTCCTGCCATGTGGAAGTTTTGTTCCTCCTCACGGTTTGGCAGGCAATGTCTGTATTTCCAACAGGCGTTTCCTGCCCTGGGCCGCAGCCAGAGCATTTATGTCACTTTGAATCCAGGATTTTAGCATTTATTTGTGTGCTTCCTACATATCTAAGCGGTTATTCTGGTACAACCTTGGCTACGCTGCACGGCTCCACGGCTCTCATCACCAAGCCCAGCACGGAAATTTTCCTTTGACAAAAATAGCCGGAACTGCACATCATTTCTCGAGCAAGCCTGACTAATTATTTCCTAAATGTTAACTGCCCGACAGAGTTGCAAATGCTGGAGGGTCGCACAGCTGCCAAAAAGGAGCAGTTTAACGGCTAAAAGCATCCCGACAGCCAGCGGTCACAGCCTCCAAACCCCAGTTAACCAAAGCCAACGCTTCTGCCCTCTCCAGAAACGGCGTTAGGAGGAACATGGCCGGAGACAGGACAAATACAAAGAGCTGAAAGGATGAGAACAGGTGTCCCAGGCCACAAAGGGGGACCTGCGCGGAGGTGTGGGGCTGGCTCCCGCACCCTGGGCACCGGCCGCCCGCCTCGCTCCATCGCTCAGCCCTCTCTTGGTTCAGTAAACCTCCTGAGGGTCTAACGTTTCTTTTGAGGTAATCAAAAAGCGTCTTTTTTTGGCCTAGACACATTAAAAAGATAAGGTCGATTAATGATTAACGTGCCAGTATCAGTGACATCTAATCCCCTCATTATATTGCTTTTCCTTTTAAGCGCTGTTAGCCCTTGCAGCCCACGGATTTCTGGTTTATAGGGAACTGCCTGGTGCCGTGGGACAAACCTCACCGAGTGAAGGCGAGAGGAGAAGCCAAGCGAGCGCCTGTGGCATGGCTGAGCACCATGGTGGCAGCCGGAGCAGGTAAATGAAGCTGGCGGACAGTTGGCATGGCTTGGGTTAAAATGGGACTGACTCGCTGAAGCACCTGCTCAGACATACCCAAAGATGCTGGAGAACTGGTCTCTTACCTGACCTTCTAGTGGTGAGCCCAGGCTTGTTTCAAAAGTTTAGTGATAAAGTCCCAGAACACAAAATAGCTTTCTGGTGGTCAGAGAGCTTAATCACTTGATGTTTCCTTCTGGCTTCCTCTCCCTGAATTACATGTTGCCCCTGAACTCAGGTCCCTTCGCCCCGCGCCACCCCCGGCGTGGCCATTCAGGCAGGCGCTGGTGGTCCCTTGGCCGGGTGACGCTGCTCCTCCGACCAGCACACCCCAGCTCACGTTCGTGCCAGTAAAAAACCACGCTCGGCCCCTTGAGAGCCGAATGCTCTAGACATTTATAGATGGTTATAACATTCCCACTTAATTATCGATTAGCCAAGCGAGCCTTACAAAACTCTTGTACAAAACACCCCCTCCACCTTCCCACAGACACAGTACTTTTTAGCGGGCTGACTGGTTTTTCCTTCCTCCCCCATCACTCTCCTTGCTGCAGCCGGCACCAGTTGCCCGTTCAGCAGCACCGGGAGCACCATGCACCCATCGCCCCTTGCCGTGCCCGGTCCCCCGGCTCACCCTGGCACCCAGCCTGTCCCACCCTGGGTGCCGCTGCACCGGCGCCGGCTGCACGGCCCTTCCTGGGGTCCCTTCCTGGGAGCAGGACGGCGTCATGCCGCCGGCCAGCTGGGAGAGCATGGGGCATGACCTGCCCCAGAAAAATTAATTGAGTGTAACTCGTCTTTCAGCACGGCCAGTTATTGCTGGCGTCCTCCTCCAGACTGTCCGGGGGGACTGAGAAGTGAAAGGTGGGGAGAAGAAAAATAAAGAGTGAGTCTAAACTTGGCTAGAAAAAACATCTCCAGTTACCAGACCCAGAAACGGGTCATGTTCTTACATCGCCTTTACTTCGTTTCACAGTGTGGCTTTGAGGGGACCAAGCAGACCACCCAGCCGGCTCACAGCACGCCCACCCAAGGCCCACTGACCCGGTGCCACTGAAAGCTCCCGAGTGCACAGCACGCCAGGTAACTGCGCTGTGCCTCGTCACATTGCCCTGCAGCCCACGAGTGGCAAAAGTGTGCACGCCTGAGTTTCTAACCGTGTGTTGCCGCACCAGCCCTCACCGGTGCTGTACGGCAGAGACGAGTCTCCAGCCACGGCAGAGGATGGTGATTGAGGAGGCTGCATCGCTCCTCCATAAAGCCGATGACGGAGGAGCTGCATGCTCTGCAGGCAATATTCCTTAACTGAGAGCCTGGGTGGTTTTCACACCAACCTCCACAATTATCACCATGTCCTCAGAGTGCAGCATTTATCCCAGACAGCGCACACAAGCTCTTGGGAAGCATTACCACGCTAAAGATGAAACACTCAGCTTTCAGGATGGGCAGAAGGGTCACGAGGCACCGCTCGCTTACCCGACTCGGAGCTCTCGCAGTCCTGCGGGTTGCACTTCTGGGTGCTCTCGGGCCAGGGCTCGTGGTCACAGAGGCTGCTGTCCTCCTCGGCCAGCCCCGTCTTGGTGTTGATGC